CGTCCAACATTTGAAAAAGATAATATTCAAAAAATAAATGCCAACGAATGTTCTTTCGAACGATAATAACCATTTCCCATTAAATTTAAAGTTTCTGTGTTTTTTCTTAAAAAAAAGTAGGAAATCTTGAAATGGATTACCCTTTATATATTGGCAACATGTGGAGGTATCTGAACGAAACTCTGAGGGAGTCTCTTTTATGTATATTTTAGTGGGTCATTAAATGCCCAAAAACTGAGATGATAATTTTATGCTTGCATCGACCATTCAATGCTCTTGGACGGCTAAATACGTAGTCGCATCTACGTGACTCAGACGCTTAACTTTCTATATATAACAAAATTGAATTCTATTTAACCTTGGCCTCGTAAATATTTATAACAACTTCCGGCTATGGTTTTTATTTATTTGGTATTTGTGAAATGAAACGAAACCGAATTATTAGAGATCACTTCATCTGAATATTTTTGACAATGAAGTACTTTGCTGATAATTATTTCTGGAAGTGACATATTTATATATAAAAAAAGTTTTTATTATACTTTATGGTTATATATGTAAGTACTGGTAGTAACACCGAGAGCAAGTACGCTGTAATCTCTGGAGTTAGAAACGAGTAAACTTCTTCTACACACTTCTCAAAATAACGATTTCGAGCAACAATATTCAGCAATTGAATGTCTGTATATAAGTGTGAGTATTTATTTGGGAATTTACGCTGAAGTTTCCGTTTGACACACGACCGACTCACCAAAGGGCGGTGCGCAAGTCAATTAATGGGCAAATAAACGATTTTAAAATGTTTGTACTGTATCTTCAATATTTAACTTTTGCATGTTTGAAGAAARAGTGGTTGAAAAGCTACAAGCCAAACTCGCTGAAATCCACGACTTTAGCGCACTTAAGCCGCTGTTCGCTGGCACGCACTTCAACTCGCTCTCCGCTGCGGTACTATCGCACGACCGAACGACAAACCAGCAGACAGACTAATGCGCGAGCTTAATRCAGCATTGCGAGCGATCGCTGTCAGCGCATGTACACACATACACACATTTCGTTTAGTAAAACTGTTTGTTTGGCATGGCTGAACGACGGCGACGGCTTTTGCGAGCGAGCGCCATGAGTTGAGCGTCAAGTGCGCGCCGAAGGAAAGTGAACACAATTGAGGTCATACAATATTTATGTGCTAAAATATCAGTAKCTGTGTGCGTTCGTGTATATGTATATGCGTATTTCTGTGCAATTGCAGTAACAACAGCGATAACACCACAATATGGCTGATGATGATCATGATGATTGTTGCTGGCGCATTAGTGTTGGGTCGGCAGAGTGGGCGGCATAGCGCAGTGAAGAGCTGGAAGCTAGCGCTGTGACATTTTGAGTACATGAAAAGTGTATGAAAGTCGCGCTTAATTGAAAACGCTCAGCCATTTGAGTGCACTTTGCTTAGAAACAAGCAATTCGGTTGGATTATTGTGGAGTAGAACATACACATACATACATATTTATATATATACATAAATATGTATATGTATGCAAGTATGTAGTGCATTTAGGCAGAATAATTTAAATTTGGGAGCGTCAAGCACAAATGTACATTCAATATGTAAGTGTGTGTGTGAGTGTGTACTAGCTAATAGGGGCGTTTGAAAWTGCGACAAAGTGGAGCCAAGTCACAAGCAATGAAGAAATGAAGCGAGAATATTACAAAAACAAATAATATGTACATACGTGCATA